AAGATTTAAAGTAGACAAAAGAATTTATGGTTCTGAACATTGTAAGACTGAGTTTGAAATAAATTGTGTACAAATAATGAACATGTAATTGCTAATATGTATAAACTTTTATTGAAATTTGAAACAGAAGAACTAGTGAAAGAATGTATGATAAAGTGGGCTAAAATTTTGGTTATAATATACAGATGGAGCAATGGGAAAATATGTGGCTGAAAGGATTGAAATTTACATTATGCTAAAATCTTAAAGATAATTTTAATAAAATGATGTATTGTTGGCATATGTCACCAGATAAATTGTCTAAAATGTATAAAGGCACTACAAATTTATGCTGGAAATGTGAACAACAAGAAAGGTCATTTTATCATGCTTGGTGGACATGTAAAAAAGCTAGAAAAATCTGGATTCAAATACATACACTGATTCAGAGGGTTTTAAAGACTAATATAGAATTGAGACCATATTTCTTTCTTTTGGGATTCATGGACAAACAGTTGGAAAAAAGTCATGGAACTCTGGTTTTGTATGTGATAACTTCAGCAAGATTATTGTATGCACAAAGATGGAAAGATTCAGGATTACCCACAATGGAGGAATGGCTGGTCAAGTTGATGGAACTTGTTGAAATGGCCAAACTGATTAGAGAGAAGACAATATCTATGTTTTTTGCTGAGTGGAAACCCCTTATGGACTTTTTGCGTAAAACAGAAAAAAATGAACTTATGATTTATGGTTTTCCTAGACAGGATAGATTATAGAGGATATTGTAACCATAGAATAAGAGGTAAATTGTAGTTATTGTAAAGAAGATTGGAAGCCACCTCTCTGTATCTTTTTTCTTTCTTTTCTATTTTTTTTTCTTTTTTTTTCTTACACTTTTAGCTTTCTCTTTGATTTCCTTCTTTTTCCTTTTTCTTTCTTACTTTTGATTAGTTTGCCCTAGTTTTTATCTTCTCTTTTAAAACTTTTAATAAAACCATTAAAAAAGAAAAAGCTCAGAGTAAAGCTTCCATCCTGCATTCTCTGTCAGCCCAATGCTCCTTCCTCCACCTTGTTTTATGCTTAAGAAAAGAGAGTGTGCCCACCACCTCGCCCATTTACGCCCTTTACCTTGCTCACGAGGCTTCTGAAGGTCAGCGTCATTCTGCGCATCTGGTAGATGAGAAAGAGAAAAAGGAGAGCTTCATTCAGGCCACGTTTGGCTTATTGACTGCCCTTTGCTAGAGGCCCAACCATGAGACTCGAACGCCACTTCTGGTGCATTGCGGGAGGCCACGCGACAACTTGGTGACTTCACCTGGGGATGCCAAGATTTGGGCCTGTTCTGAGTGGGGAGGGGCGTTAAAAGGGACAGGAAGAGTAGTCCACCTCCCCAGGACTTCTGCTCCTCACCCTGCCCTTTCAGGCCCAGATCAGCCTAAAAGCAGCACTTTGGGTCCGGGTGTGTATGCGTGACCAGGGGCTTCCCTCTCACCCCACATTTGAACAAGGTAGGAGCTACATCTGTTTCACCGCAGAGAAAATCCACTCCAGATCTCAGGAGTCCACAGAAGCAGTAGCCGCAGCAGCTCAGCCTTCCTGCTTGCCTGGTGAATTTTAACTCTTCTGTAATCTCTCTATTTTTATTTTGCTTGTCTGTCCAGTTACCTCTTCCCCACACCTCATCTCTGTCCCCCCTTTCTATTTCCTTTCTTGCCCTGTGGCAGCTGTTCCACCCCAAAACTGGTTCTCTTCTTCCTTTTGGCTGGTTCTGCTGGAAGGAACATGGATGAGGGGTTATATGTATGTTTATGGATACCTGGAAATGTAGGACCAATTACTTTTACAGGTAATTAATTTTAACCATTAAAAGGAAGCATTGCTAACAACAAAGCTAGTGGAGATGACAGTACAGCTTTTGAGTTATTTAAAATACTAAAAGATGATGGTGTTAAAGTGCTGGCTGAGCGCCGAAGAATTGATGCCTTTGAACTGTGGTGCTGGAGAAGACTCTTGAGAGTCCCCTGGACTGCTAGGAGGTCAAACCAGTCAATCTTAAAGGAAATCAACCCTGATTGCTCATTGGAAGGATCGATAATGAAGCTCAAGCTCAGATACTTTGGTCACCTAATGCGAAGAGAGATCTCTTTGGAGAAGACCCTGATGCTGGGAAAGATTGAAGGCAAAAGGAGAAGAGGACGGCAGAGGATGAGATGGTTAGATAGCATCACTGAAGCAATGAGCATGAAACTGAGCAAACTCAGGGAGGCAGTGAAGGACAGGAAGGCCTGGCGCAATATGATTGATGGGGTCACGAAGAGTCGGACACGACTTAACGACTAAACAACAACAACAACAACAATTTTAACCATTAAACAATAACTTTTTTTTTTTTGCTGTTGTTATTCTGGCCTTGCCGTTTGTGATTCTGGCTTTTAGCATATACACAAGTGTGCCACACACATATATTTACTGGCTTGGTGATGGGGGACCTCCAAGTTTGGTTTCAGCTGGAGATGAAAACCTTGGGAAGCTGCG